ATCACTTTTCTTAACACATCAGAGCTCCTGCTCGTCCCAGGGCCCAGGCAGTGATAACCCAGAGCCTCTTCTGGCCCAGCCCCCAGGGAGCAGGGAAGGCAGCGATAGTCCTACCCGCTCAGCCCAGAAGGGCCGAGGCTCAGGTTAGCAGAGCTGTCCTCTCAGCGCGCCCCTGGGCCCGGGGAGGGAAGTGGCACCCGTTGCTCACAGTCCTCATCTGTCTGGACAAGCTCAGAGCGGCCAGCGTAAGCGTGTGCGGGGCTGCGGGTCTCCCCCAGCCCTGGTAGCCTCACAGGCCCCAGCGCCTCAATGGGCTCAGAGGCCCAGGTCTCTCATCGTCTCTTCCCAGGCTCCGAGCAGGCCCCGAGCCGGACATGGTCTGAGACCCACCGCCCTGTCCCAACACCTCTCCTCTGAAATGGAAACATCCGGAGGCCACCACTGATTCAAAGCCCTTGGCCCGACACCGCTGGTCTGTCCACCATGATCGGGAGCAGCTACTGGACCTTATGGATGAGGATCGGGCTCCGGGCGGGTGCGCTGCCTGAGGTCTCACTGCGGGTTCAGAGGGGAGTCGTGGCCAGAGCTGTGTGCTGTCCAGTGACATCGCTAGCCTCCTGACACGGGGGCGCCGAGAACCGAATACAGCGCTGGGTCTGAGCAGGGCAGGCCAGACAAGATGCTGCCAGGCTTCCCCGGAAGCAGTAGGAGCGCCCCTGGCCCTCACCCTTCCTTCTGATGGGTGTGGCTGCTCAGCCTCAAGTCCTCAGACTCGCTGGTCTCAGGGGCCTCGAGGCGGCTCCAGCTGCCGAGAAGGCTGTCTCCTCTCGTGTGTCCCTCTGGATACAGAACAGTGTCTCAGTTTCTTTAATTTTCTTTAAACATTTTTTTCATCACCGTTATACCCCACTACTCTCTTCCACCTCTACCTCCCCTCCTCCCCTGCAATAACCACAATGTCGTTCATGTCCATGAGTTCTCTTTATGCTCTATTTCCTCCGCCCCATCTCCAGCTGCCTGCCTGCTCTATCTATGTGTCTCTGCATTTTTCTTGTTAGTTCAGTTTGTTTGTTAAACTCTACGTGAAATATATGGCACTTGTCTTTCTCTGGCTTCTTTCACTTAGCGTAAGCTATCCAGGTGCCCCCATGCTGTCACAAGGGTAACATTTTCTTCCTTTTTGTGACCTAATTTTCCATTGTAAATGCCCCACAGCTTCTTTAACCACTCATCTACTGACGGGCACTTGGGCTGCTTCCAAATCTTGGCTATTGTAAATAACGCTGCGATGAACATAGGGGGCCTATGTTCTTTCCAATTGGGTTTCTGGTTTCTTCAGATAAATTCCCAGAAGTAGAATCACTAGGTCATAAGGCAGTTCCATTTTTAATTTTTGAGGAAACTCCATACTGTTCTCCACAGTGGCTGCACCAGTCTGCATTCCCACCAGCAGTGCACGAGGGTTCCCTTTTCTCCACATCCTCGACAGCACTTGTTGTTTGTTGATTTATTGATGTAGCCATTCTGATAGCTGTGAGGTTATAGCTCATTGTGGTTTTAATTTGCATCTCTCTGGTGATCAGTGACCTTGAGCATCTTTTCATATGTCTATTGGCATCTGTACATCCTCTTTGGAGAGGTGTCTATTCAGGTCCTCTGCCCATGTTTTAATGGATTGTGTGTTTTTAGGTGTTGAGTTTCTAAGTGTATATGCTTTCCAAAAGGAACAAGGTAGCAATGCCAAGAGCGGGCTGCAAGAAACAGGCATCCTGAATGTGTCCTAGCTGCACAGCGCCCCCTCTCCACCCCTCCCCCCCCCACCCTGCAGCATTCGGGGCGGGGCTGCGGGGCCTTAAATGAGGCACAGGTCCCGGAGAGCAGGGCTGCCCTCTGGGGCTGGGCTGCCCGCAGTCAGGCAGCCTGGTGTGATGAACCAAACACAAACACAAAGGAAAGGCAGCTCAGCTCCTTCAGGGCTGTGATGTCCTCCTCCCCTGTCATGCTCAGTCCACAGTCCCCCAGGCTCCCATAGGCCCGCCCCAGGCAAGGCACCCCAACTGACCTGCTGGCTGCTCCCAGTCTGGAGGCTCTGCCTAGCCAGGGGGAATGCCACCTCCTTTCCTTCCTGAAATCAGGTCCGAGGAATTGGGGGCTGGGGGAGCGGGAGGCAGGCTGCACTGCACCCTTAACCCACAACCCTGGCTGCCATTTTCTTTCTGGGGAGGCCAGGGCCAGCCACATATGGGAGGCTGAGCAGCAGGTGCCAGGCCTGTCTCTGACGACTGAGTTCACCAGAGAGAACCAGCAGGGGAAAGGGAAACTCGTTTCTTCTAAAATCCAACACGCGATGTTTTATTCAATTAGAAAAGAATGGGGTGAGAGAAAAACTCCCAAGTTTCTTCTCACTAATTTTATTTAGATCTGATCAATTTCACTTAGAATATCTATGCAATCATTTTTCAGTGTGAGATGCGCGTGTGTGTGTGTGTGTGTGTGTGTGTGTGTGTGTGAACCCTTAGAAACTTACTTGTATAACTTCGCATTTTGGGTCTATAGAAATAATTTTATTTTCATATTGCAGCACAGTAGACTTACAATCAACATTATTCCTGAAGGGCAGTATATACATTATTCACATCAAAAACTAAGAACAGAAAGCTTCATATGCAGGAAATGTCTTAGAATGCCTACCTACGTTTGGATCTGTTTCGACGGGACGCTAGCTTACACTCTGGCTGAGTGGCATTACACAGTGGGACAAGTGCACGTGGGCCGCCTCCAGGGGCGCCGCCGGCTCGCCGCTCCTCGCTTTGGTCACGGAGATCAGGCGCTGAGCCATTCCCAGAAGCACACTGTTACACTCGCACTTCCAAGGCCGCTGTCTGTTCTACTCCCCCTTATAGCGAGGGGATCTTTTCTCCTTAAAAGCCAGAAGACCTTCAAGTCTGTCTTTTGTTGGAATGGTCTAAGAGAAACAAAACATTATGTGATGTGTACCAAAAAGTAAAAACTGGGAAAACAGTTTTGACAAGTTTTATCAAAGAAAACGAATTAGAACACAATCTAAAATTTTGAAATCTAGTAGTCATTTGAACAATCCTAATTATGTGTCCAAATTTATTATTCCAATTCCAACTATGGTTTTTCTCCATTTCAAATATACTTTAAAAATTAATAGGCTTTATTTTTTAGACAATTTTAGGTTAGGTTCACACAAAACATTGAGCCACAGTTCAGAGTTCCCATAGACCAGTGGTCGGCAAACTGTGGCCCCTTGAGTGTGGCTCTTCCACAAAATACCACGTGCGGGCACGCACGTACAGTGCGATTGAAACTTCGTGGCCACACTCAAGGGGCCAAAGAGCCACATGTGGCTCGTGAGCAGTAGTTTGCCGACCATTGCCATAGACTCCCTCAGGACCCCAACCATCCTCTAATATTAATACCTTGCCTGACTGTGGTACATTTGTTACATTTGTTACAACTGATGAAACCAACATCCACATATTATTAACTGAAGCCCAGAGTTTGCATTCACCGAGTGGCATCTTTCATGGACTGACAATGTGCGTGCGGATCCTCCATACAGTGCCCTACAGAAACGTTCCCGCTTTAAACATCCCGGGGGGCCCGCAATTCATCCCTGCCCGACCCTCTGCCTCTCCCAGAATGGCACTCACGGCATGTGCTCACCAACAACTGGTGGTGGTTTCCACGCGCCCAGGCAGAGTAACTCCACCCACGCTCCTTCCCTGACCACCGTCTAATGGAGGCTGAGGCAGTTTCTAATTCTCAGGAAAGGCAGGACAAAACGCTTTTGCTACTGTAGGTGCTCTAAAACAGTTACATCTTTCAGAAAAACAGAAGGGAAGATGAACGGGAGGAAGGGGGCGGAGGAGACAAGGGAGGAAGGAAGGACCGTTTGTTCCTCTACAGAAAGCCCCAATAATTTGTGTACAAAACAGGAACTGGGTACTTGAATTAGGGCCAGGGAAGGCTGCGAATGCCAGGAAAAGCAGTGAGTCTTCAACACCTATGTTCCGCAGCAGGCACCTGCTCACGCTGCCCGCCTCCCACCTCTACGCTGCACCTGCAGTGAGGGGTCAAGTCACACCCACAAGAAAAACCTGAGTCAGAGAGACAGCTCTAGCACAAATGGTACTAAATTGTTCTAAGAGTTTTCTAAATTATGTAGATAGAGTCATTAGTCTGTGAACAGAATCAACCAAAAGAGCTGGAAACAGTCAAATAGAAACCATTTTAACATTTGTGTGGCTTTGGAGTGAGTGTGACCTTGCTTAGCCATGTATAATTCATCTAACTTACACCGAAGGCACTGACTGTGACTGTGTTACATACCTGAGCATAGCAAGCTTCTTCTATGGCCAACCCTGTTACTAAATCGACCTGAGGATAAAAGCATAATTCACTTCCGCAGGAATTCCTTTTTAAAGCACGGGATACTCAATGTAAATCAAACTCACACCCTCTCCCCAGAGAACAGAGCCTTTGCAAATTGCAAGGAAGACCAGCAGGGGGCTCTGGAGCAGAGGCCTGGTTCAGGTCGGCCTCTACCACGTGGGAGCTGTGAGGCCCTGGGCGGTATTTCACCTCCCTGTGCGCGAGAGGCGTCTGCACAGGGGCTCACCCAGCTCCTACCAACCAAGGGTGCGTGAGGGTGAGACGAACTACTGCGGGTGAGGACGCTGTAAGGCGCCTAGACACACAGGCAGAGCTCAGAGACGCTGCGGGCTTGGTTCCAGTTCACAGCGACAGAGCACATGCCACAGTGAAGTCTCACGGTTTTGGTTTCCCTCCACAGATAAAAGCTGTTTACACTACACTGCAGTCCATTAAGTGTGCAACAGCACTGTGTCTAAGACAACAGTGTGCATTTCTTAGTTAAAACATACTGTATTGCTAAAAATGCTGGCCATCACCTGAGCCTTCAGTGAGTCCGTGTGTCTGTGCTGTTGGAGGGTCTTGCCTGGTTGCTGATGGAAATGCAATTATCTGTTAAGCACAATAAAGTGCAATAAAATGAGGTGTGTGTGTGTGTGTGGGGGGGGTGTATGTGTGTGAGACGGCAAGGGCACACAGCCAGGGTCACATAAGGTGTTTGCTATTAAATATTGTTACTATTATGTAAGAATTTTAAAAACCAATCAAGTACTTTGTAAATGTTAAAGACTGCATTATTGCTAACAAATTCCATTTCTTTTTACTGCTAGGAAGCCAAGGATAATACAGTGGGCTCTGGATAAACAAGGAATAAGCATCTTTCTTAAAAACTCCATCATTTAACCAAAACAGAACTGCTGCAAGTGCAAGCCCACGCCAATGGCTGCCTGCCCTGCCCGGCCCGGCCTGGCCTCCACTGCCAGAGCCCCGCCCAGGACGGTCCAGGACACGCCTGGCAGCACCTGCAGGGAGACGCATGAAGCACACAGCACCTAGGAGTGCAAGGTGCAGAGCCAGGCGCCCTATGCGTGTTCGCTATCAAGGTGCCGGCACTGAGAATGCGCAGAAGGCCCTTTGCTCTGGTTCTCCATGGACTACAGTCAGGAAGTCTATTAACTCAATGGGAAAACCACAAGCTGTGTGGCCATCAGAGAAATCACCGAATTCTGTGATTATGATAAGTGCACTAACACCTATTTGCAGAATTAAACGAGTATTATGCTAAGTGAAATAAGTCAGTCAGAGAAAGACAATGAACACAATAAACTGATGAACAAAACAGACCCAGAGACACAGAAGCATAGAACAGACTGTGGAATCTCAGAGGGAAGACGGGGGTCAGGGGTTGGGAAGAGATTAACTAAAGACCTTGTATGCATATATGCACAGCCCATGGACACAGACAATAGTACGGTGAAGGCCTGGGGTAGGGGTGGGGGTGGGTGGAGGGGGTCAATGGGGAAAAAAAGGGACATCTGTAATATTTTCAACAATAAAGATAAATAAAATAAAAAAAGAATCTCAGTGGCTTTCAGTAACAGTGGCACTGAAACAGCTATATTTTAGAACATTAAAATATAATGTAGAAGTCTAAAGATGGCTCATTTAAATTAAATCTCCATTACCTACTCCAACAAAACTCAACCATTAAGTAACTTACCTCCATCCCCTGATTAATTGCTAATTTTGCCACTCGCATTGCAACAGGTCCCTAAAATTAAAATGAAAAAAACAGATTTAATCACTATCTATGCCAGTGGTCGGCAAACTCATTAGTCAACAGGGCCAAATATCAACAGTACAACGATTGAAATTTCTTTTGAGAGCCAAATTTTTTAAACTTAAACTATATAGGTAGGTACATTGTTATTAAGTTAATTAGGATACTCCTAAGGCTTAGGAAGAGCCACACTCAAGGGGCCAAAGACCCGCATGTGGCTCGCGAGCCGCAGTTTGCCGACCACGGATCTATGATAATTATGCTGTACATCTCAACAGAATCTAAAGGTTCCCATTGCTGGATCCTAGGCCTGGAGGCAGCCATGGCTGTTCAGAGGCAGCTGATGGGCAGAAGTCTCTCTAGGAGCCCTGCAAGGCCTTAGGCAGGAAGCGGAGCAGCTCCCCTCCGCGTGCGTGTGGCGTGTGCTGCAGCCTCCATAGGACGCAGCTGGCAGGCTGCGCACTGGGAGATCGCACGGGACTTACCTTTCTCCAGCAAATCTCCCTGGAAGTTAAGAAAAAAGGAAAGGAGACAGCGTGTTGGGCAGGACACCACAGCCGCTGGAGTGTGACGGCGTCCTCCACATCGTCAGACATCCATCCCCATGGGGGTGGCGTGTTGTTTCAGACACGGGCTGTCTCCTCCAAGGGCCTGGAGAACTAACCACGATGGTGCCCTACAGTGAAACGGGCCCCAGCCAGAGCCCAACATCCCAGGAAGTCCCTCGGATGTGAGTGTCACTAGGAAGAACAGGTGTCCCCGGGAGAAGGAAAGCGGGGCACCTGTCCCAGAAGCCCCCAGCCCTGAGACTGAGCCGGTGATGCACCCAGGCTTAGAACTCAATGGCCCGCTGTGAAACGTCTTTTGAATGACAATGAAAGGGAGGCTCTAAGTAACAGGGACAGAGGACCCCAGGGCATGGGGGGCTGGACCAAGTGTGTCTGGAAGAGGCTCTCCTCCTCCTCTTTAGGGCGCTGGAGGCGCTCGCCAGCCGCCTCTTCTCCCCCAACCCCACCCAGGCCACGAATCTTCCAGCAAGATCTGCACCCTGGTGCGCACACAGCAGTGCTCTTTAGGAAACACCAGCTCATTTATTTTTACACCAGTGCTCCCCTCACTGAGAACCCCCTCGGGCTGGGCCGGCTGCTGGCCAGCATGCTCCCAGGGCCGCCAAGCTCTGCCACACCCTGGCCAGCAAGGCTCAGGGAACCGGAAAGGCTTAGATACTGGCTGGTTGGCTTAGCTGCTCTCCCAGATACTAAACCAATGCCTCTCCTCTAGATAAGCCTTTTTCTCAGACAGGAAAATGGAAGTGACATCCAATACAGAAATCAACTGCAAATGGGAAGTTCAGAGAAGCTTTCTAGTTATTTGAAAGAGTCACCTTTCAGTGACAAAGACCATAAAATAAAAATGACCCCCTCCCCCCCTGCAATGGCTGTGTAACTTCTGCGTCTGGCGTCATAGTCAGGCATCTGCTGATGTCACTCGACATCATCCTGATGGGAGGAATTCGCTTCTGCCACTTGTGGTCTCAGAAGCTGGTCCCCAGGCACCACGGGAGGCCCGTGGTGCTCCCATATGGAGCATGGGGTGCACAGGAGCTGGGGCGGGAAAGTGGGGGGGACCGTGCAGGGGGAGCTGAGGACAGTGAGGGCACCAACGCCCTGAGGGGCTCGGAGACTTGACGATTCTGGAGCGAGAGGACCCGGGACGCAGGGTGGGGCTCTGGAGAGGAGCTGAACTCCGTCCAGCAGGGAGCACCTATCAGGACTGGGACCAGGCCACAGCCTGCTCAAGCGCCCGATTTACCTGACGGGTTGGTCATGAAGGTGGAAGCCAAGGGCAGTCAGCTAACTAACATTTAAACTATGACTTCTGATACCTGTACCTTTAATCCCTCTAAAGGGAGACATTTCCCTAACATTTTTGAGAAATATAATTACTAAAGTAACACTGAGTGTCTTTTTTTTTCTTAACAGCAATAACAGTCTTTTCTATTTGCTCCCTCTCCATCGATTCAGAGGGTAAGGCTCTGTTGCCTTCCATGGGGAACAAATTATCTGAGGGCCCTGCTCTGAGAGAGCTTAGAGCTCACACCCTAATCGAGGGGGACTGAAGCAGTACCAGCACCAGCCCCTGAAAGCCCGTGGGACAAGTGTGTCACCTCATAGCCCTGGGACAGCTGTGTCACCTCTGACAAACGTGGGACAGGTGTGTCCCCTCTGACAAATGTGGGTCAGGTGTGTCACCTCTGACAGCCCTGGGATAGGTGTGTCACCTCATGGCCCTGGGACAGTGTCACCTCATAGCCCTGGGACAGGTGTGTCACCTCTGACAGCCCTGGGACGGGTGTGTCACCTCTGACAAACCTGGGACAGCTGTGTCCCCTCTGACAGCCCTGGCATAGGTGTGTCACCTATGACAGCCCTGGGACAGGTGTGTCACCTCTGACAGCCCTGGGACAGGTGTGTCACCTCTGACAGCCCTGGGGGCAGGTGTGTCACCTCATAGCCCTGGGACAGGTGTGTCCCCTCTGACAGCCCTGGGGGCAGGTGTGTCACCTCATAGCCCTGGGACAGGTGTGTCCCCTCTGACAGCCCTGGGGGCAGGTGTGTCACCTCATAGCCCTGGGACAGGTGTGTCCCCTCTGACAGCCCTGGGGGCAGGTGTGTCACCTCATAGCCCTGGGACAGGTGTGTCCCCTCTGACAGCCCTGGGGGCAGGTGTGTCACCTCATAGCCCTGGGACAGGTGTGTCCCCTCTGACAGCCCTGGGGGCAGGTGTGTCACCTCATAGCCCTGGGACAGGTGTGTCCCCTCTGACAGCCCTGGGGGCAGGTGTGTCACCTCATAGCCCTGGGACAGGTGTGTCCCCTCTGACAGCCCTGGGGGCAGGTGTGTCACCTCATAGCCCTGGGACAGGTGTGTCCCCTCTGACAGCCCTGGGGGCAGGTGTGTCACCTCATAGCCCTGGGACAGGTGTGTCCCCTCTGACAGCCCTGGGGGCAGGTGTGTCACCTCATAGCCCTGGGACAGGTGTGTCCCCTCTGACGGCCCTGGGAGAGGTTGTCACCTCATAGCCTTGGGACAGGTGTGTCCCCTCTGACGAACCTGGGAGAGGTGTGTCACCTCTGACAGCCCTGGGACAGGTGTGTCACCTATGACAGCCCTGGGACAGGTGTGTCACCTCCTACAGCCATGGGATAGGTGTGTCACCTCTGACAGGCCGGGGACAGGCCGGGGACGGGTGTGTCACTCTATCAGCCCTGGGACGGGTGTGTCACCTCTGACAGTCCTGGGACAGGTGTGTCACTTCTGTCAGCCCTGGGACAGGTGTATCACCTCTGACAGCCCTGGGACAGCTATGTCACTTCTGACAGCCCTGGGAAAGGTTGTCACCTCATAGCCCTGGGACAGGTGTGTCACCTCTGACAGCCCTGGGAGAGGTGGGTCACTTCTGACAGCCCTGGGACAGGTGTGTCCCCTCTGACAGCCCTGGGGACAGGTGTGTCACCTCATAGCCCTGACCTCTGACAGCCCGGGGACGGGTGTGTCACCTCTGACAGTCCTGGGACGGGTGTGTCACCTCTGACAGCCCTGGGACAGCTGCGTCACCTCTGACAGCCCTGGGACGGATGTGTCACCTCTGACAGCCCTGGGACAGGTGTGTCACCTCTGACAGCCCTGGGACCGCTGCGTCCCCTCTGACAGCCCTGGGACAGCTGCGTCACCTCTGACAGCCCTGGGACCGCTGCGTCCCCTCTGACAGCCCTGGGACAGCTGCGTCACCTCTGACAGCCCTGGGACCGCTGCGTCCCCTCTGACAGCCCTGGGACAGGTGTGTCACCTCTGTCAGCCCTAGGACAGGTGTGTTACCTCATAGCCCTGGGACGGGTGTGTCACCTCATAGCCCTGGGGCTAGTGTGTCACCTCTGACAAACCTGGGTCAGGTGTGTCACCTCTGACAGCCCTGGGAGAGGTGTGTCACCTCTATCAGCCCTGGGACGGATGTGTCACCTCTGATAGCCCTGGGACGGGTGTGTAACCTCTGACAGACCTGGGACGGGTGTGTCACCTCATAGCCGTGGGACAGGTGTGTCACCTCTGACAGCCCTGGGACAGGTTGTCACCTCATAGCCGTGGGACAGGTGTGTCACCTCTGACAGCCCCGGGACAGGTTGTCACCTCATAGCCCTGGGACAGGTGTGTCCCCTCTGACGGCCCTGGGAGAGGTGTGTCACTTCTGACAGCCCTGGGACAGGTGTGTCACCTCTGACAGCCCTGGGACAGGTGTGTCACCTCTGACAGCCCTGGGAGAGGTGTGTCACCTCTATCAGCCCTGGGACGGATGTGTCACCTCTGACAGCCCTGGGAGAGGTGTGTCACCTCTATCAGCCCTGGGACGGATGTGTCACCTCTGACAGCCCTGGGAGAGGTGTGTCACCTCTATCAGCCCTGGGACGGATGTGTCACCTCTGACAGCCCTGGGAGAGGTGTGTCACCTCTATCAGCCCTGGGACGGATGTGTCACCTCTGACAGCCCTGGGAGAGGTGTGTCACCTCTATCAGCCCTGGGACGGATGTGTCACCTCTGACAGCCCTGGGAGAGGTGTGTCACCTCTATCAGCCCTGGGACGGATGTGTCACCTCTGACAGCCCTGGGACAGGTGTGTCACCTCTGACAGATCTGGGACAGGTGTGTCACAGCATGCCTGGCCTTTTTCTGATAGCAAAGGACTCCAGGAACACATTCTGACCCTGGAAGTAAAGCTCCCAGCAAATGTGAGGGTTTCTTGAAAGGGAGAGCACACGAGTCCCAAGGAACCCATGACCCCAAATAGACTGCGTCCGTTTGCATTAGGTGAGGGAGTTCACAAGGAATTTTTAGTCCAGAAATGGGTAGGGGTGTCACACCTGGTGCTCCCTTGGGGATAAAGAGGAGTCGCTAACTGTTTATATAACAAAACTCTCTCGGCTGGGAAGTTCTGGCATGAGATGAACATGTCTGTGACACACCTCACAGTGAGCAGCGTGGCCTCGGCCTCCTCCGTCTGCAGGTTAGCTCTGCGCTGCCGATGCTAACCCAGCGCAGCAACTAGCTCTAGCTCTGCACTGCCGATGCTAACCCAGCACAGCAACTAGTTCTAGCTCTGCTGTCGATGCTAACCCAGCACAGCAACTAGCTCTTGCTCTGCGCTGCCGATGCTAACCCAGCACAGCAACTAGTTCTAGCTCTGTGGCTTCCAATGCTAACCAAGCACGGCAACTAGCTCTAGCTCTGTGGCTGCCGATGCTAACCTAGCACGGCAGCTAGTTCTAGTTCTGCGCTGCCGATGCTAACCCCGCAGAGCAACTAGTTCTAGCTCTGTGGCTGCTGATGCTAACCTAGCACGGCAACTAGTTCTAGCTCTGCATGCCGAGGCTAACCCTGCACAGCAACTAGTTCTACCTCTGTGCTGCTGATGTTAACCATGCACAGCAATTAGCTCTAACTCTGCAGCTGCCGTGGACTTCTCTACTTGGAAAGCAAGCTAAGGACGTTAAGGTTGTGTGAAATGATCGTTGTCTGTTAGTTAGCTATAAAGTTACCTAAAAAGAGGAAAAAGGAAGGGGGATGGGAGGTACCTGAGGTAAGAACTCTCTCGCCAGGTCTAAGGCCTTTCTATAGGCAGCATCGCCCTCCTGGTTCTGCTCTAGGACGTGGCTGACCAAGCCCACTGCTTTGGCTTCTTGGCCATCGAGCACCCGTGCAGAGAAGATGAGCTCCTTGGCCAGGGACATCCCAATGGCACGTGGCAGGCGCTGCGTCCCCCCTGTGGAATGGAGGAGAGAGAAAATGCAGGCAATGATCTGCTACCCATCAGGTCTAACATTTCAAAATTTCATTTCTTCATTTATAAAAATAAACCAGGGCCATAAGTTTGTATGTCAAAATTAGTAACTGGAAAAACTAATTCAATCTCTTAATCTATCTATATATAAAAGCCTAAGTGACTGTTAGGACCGAACAACTGGAACCATGGGAATGACCGGTCGACCAGTTGCTATGACATGCACTGACCACCAGGGCAGACGCTCAACACAGGAGCTGCCCCCTGGTGGTAAGTGCACTCCTACAGTCAAACTCCCGTAGTCCCTCCCCCTGGCCGGCTGTGGGGTGATCGGGGGACCCCACTCATGCACAAATTCGTGCACCGAGCATCTAGTTGGTTTATAATGTTAACATCAAGAAGCACTTGAGAATCTTCTGTCTTTACTAAGAGACCTGGCATAGACTGCTCTTTGCAGTGCACCGTTGAGCTCCCGAATGGAACCCTGTCCTCACCAGCAGGAAGCAGGTGCACATGGGGCCAGCTCACTACAACTCGGCCATGTACGGGGGATTGTGGACAGGACCATGTACGGGGGATTGAGGACAGGCTTAGGTAAAACTCATCGATTCTGAGAAATTCAGCTCATGTGCTTTTAAAGAATCATTTATAGTAAATGACATGTGAACTAATTCTAATTTAATAAACATAAAAGCAGACAGTGACTCATGAAAATGGGCGTGGTGCCAAGTTATTTTTCAGTGCGAGCACTAACTGCCTGACACAGGTTGGGGGCTCATCTGAGAGAAAGCACGACAAGAGCAGGCACTATTCTCAAGAGACAAATGAAAAGATGCTCAAAGTCACTGATCACCAGAGAGATGCAAATTAAAACCACAATGAGATACTGCCTCAAACTGCCAGAATGGCTACCATCAACAAACAACAAATGCTGGCAAGGACGTGGGGAAAAAGGAACCCTCGGGCACTGCTGGTGGGAATGCAGACTGGTGCAGCAACGGGGG